AGAAACTAGGGATCTCTTAACTAAAACAATAACCAAAGATGTAGTTTGATGATGTCATGAAGCAGCGTGGGATCATGGGAGTTGCTGTCTTCACATCCACTGAATGAATGAATGAATTGTTGCTTATTTTGCTTTTACAGTATTTCAATCAAAATACTTGTGTGTGATTAATTTCCTGTGGTTACACTCACTGATTAATCGACTACTCGTTTCAGCTCTATGTGACTCATGCTGGAAAACAGCCAGAAATCCAGATTTACGAGTGACTGCTTCAGTAAACATGTGCAGCGACGCTGCTCCACCAGTCTGTCGCTGCACTACAAGGCCTGAACGCTCTGCAGCAGCTTCCCTTGGTTCTGTGACATTTTCTTTTCTTTAGGATTCACACTTCACGAGCTACAGTAGCAGCATATCACAAGAGCTGGGTGATAAGCCCTTTCACAAATAGATAACACGACCAGGTAGGACCCCTGACACACTTTCACCCAGTTAAATTCGGGTGAAATCCACTGAAAAGTTGCAAGAAGCGATGAGATTTTCCACAGAATTTCACAGGGGGCTTTACAAGGCGGCACACGCTTAAGCCGGGAGTGACTAATGAAATCTGACGCAGCGCTGTTCTAAAATTCAAATATCCAAACATACTCACAACAAAATAACTCGTAAAGCAACGTGTGATCAGATTGTTGTTCACAGTTTACTCGCTGCTGCGTTGAGAGGATGGTAAATTATTAATAAATAAATGAGGTGACGTTTATTACAGCATGTAGGAATACATCTAATTTAAATCCACTCCTCTAATCGGTACACGAGAAGCAAAAGGTCTCGTGGATGATACGTGTTCTCAAGCTCAGGCTGCTCTCTTCCTGCTGGCACCATGACATGTTGTAAAGACAGGCCCAGATGCTCCGGCAGCTTCATGACTGTCACGTCGGAACAGCAAGGCATTTGCAAGTCAAGTACAGTTCTGGCTACCATCTGCTCTGCCTGAAATGGATACTGTGGGGTGGTGGTGTTTTTTCTTATTTCTCCTACACTGTCCTGACTTTCTCTCCTTTAAATCCTCTCCTTCGTTGAATCCTGTCAGAATAGAAAGCTGCAGCTATCATGTAAGATGTGACGCGAGTAAATAGCGATGGGTAAATGGGACACAGTGGGATTTGCAAAAGACAGTGGTGGGTGGGGGGGCAATAGATGGCAAATGATACCTTTGCATGACTTCTGCCTTTAAATAAATGGGTTATAGGTCGTTTTTTTATTATTCTATAGGTCATTCTACAAAAGGATTTATAAGGATTAACTAGATTTTGATTATTTCTTCCATCTGAGCAGAAATGTGCAGCCAGCACGGCAAAGATTCCAAACAACATTATGCATTTTTTCTTTTCTATCTAGTGCATCGCAATAAAAGCACAGCTCTGTAAATTGCCAACTGCAGAGTATACAACAGTACATCCTTTCCTTTAGGGCATGTGGAGCGGGAAGCAACACATTGTTCAGCATTGATAAAGTGAACTGAGGTCAACAGATAGAGAAAATAATTGGAATCTTGGCCTCATCTGTCTTCTTTCTCCGACGCTGGATGGAACCAGGGTGTTTTAAGGCAGTAACACTCCAACCCCTCTGGCGGAATACATTACTACGATCTGCTGTGCTGCTGCAGCCCACTCAACCATTCAAAGGTCTCTGGCCAGGGTAGTAGCAAGAGGTTGAATGAGAGAGAGAGAGAGAGAGAGAGGGAGAGTGATACAGCGTCAGGGAGGAATAAGGGAGAAAGGATGGTCTGGCTGTGAAGATGTGCGTGGGAGAAATGGGAAGAGGGGTCACAGAGCCAAAGGTCACCTGGAGGCTAACATTCGATAGCTAGTCACCAGCTCTGGCTGTACTTTGTTTTATCCTACACTTTGTCTCTTTCCCTGCCTGCCTGTTATTCCAACCAACTTCTAAAACTGGCATTAACTCTAATCTGTCCACACGAGGTCTGTGTGATATTTAAGCTGGTGCAAATCCAGCATTTTACTTTTTTTAAAGATATTTGCAATGCTGGAAGTGAGAAATCATCTGCTGTGACGAGGCGGTGACTCATTTCAAACATTCTCAACTTCATGCGGGTTCGTCGAAAACTAAAACTCTGAAACAGAGACGTCAAAGAGGAAACAGCTCCGTCCATTCAGACGGCAGACCTCCCAACCTCTCATCATGCTGATGCTGCTGCGATTACATGCACATGTATGACACTGCACCACGTGTACAGTCTGAACATGTAAATTAGTTTTGAGTCTGCTTCATCACTCCATCTCTGGATCAGTGTTTGGCAACGATGGTTTGAATCCCAGCTTAGTGTGTTCTCTCCATGTTTGTGTGGGTTTTCTCCAGATACTCCAGCTCCTGCAGATTCTGCAACACACACTGGCGAGTCTTATTCGTCCTGAGATATTCATATATTTGTATTTCTTTAGCTCATTTGCTCGCAGTAAATCCTCCAGAATGACCTCCTGCTGTATCCTCACTCTTTAATTATTCTGTGGATGGCAGAAGAAACTCTGGCAACTGTCCAGGCAACTGACTTGAACACGTCTGTTCTTTCATACAGCCCCTCCGAATAATGTCAGGACATTATCGAGGGTTAAGTGCACGTCTGAGAGCATCTTAAATCCATGTGTATCGCTGAGGACTGGTCCATGGTGAACCCCGCCTCTCCCCATGTAACAGCCGTGACTGGCTCCAGCTCCCCCAGCGACCCTCAAAGCAGAAGCAGTATAGATAATAATGGATGGAAGGCCTTGATCAGCACAATCCTCAGGTGCTCTCACAATAAGAATGATTGAAAAGAGAGGAGCGTGACACACCGGTGCACAACACATTCTATGATAAGCCGCAGAGCTGTAAATGCACCTGATGTGCCAAACCTGACACTCCAGGTCCAGGTGCCTTATATGTGGCAAACGCAGCAGATGAAATCTCCCTGGGACAGAAAAATGTTAGGGAGCTTTTAAATAACCCGTTTAGCGTCAAAGATTATGACAAATGTTTCAATTGCGAACCTGGTGACAGATATAGAGCTTTTCGCAAAGAAAATTGTCTTATTCTCTCCCCCCCATTTTCTTTCACCGAATCTGTGCCGGTGACACAAGGGAAGGAAAGAAGAGAAGCAATTTAGTTTGAGACAGGGGATCATTTGAAGGCATGGCTGACAGACAGCAGCTCTTATTGCTATAGGCTGTCCCGCTGTTTGCCTTCCTCCAGCGACAAAAGGGAAAAGGGGTAGACCGGGAAGAGGGGATGAAGCACTGGTAATTGTAACCATAGCATTTAACAGAAATTCATTCTCTGTCGCTGTGAAGGCAATCAAGACGGTGACATGAGCTGCTTTTACGAGGCGCTAGGTGGAAGGTTAGAAGAGACGAGGCCGGGCGGAGACGAACTACTCTGTCTCAAAGCCACGGAAACCGACAAATCAGACAGCGCGGCTCCCACACACGAGTCAAATCCTATTTCACTGCTGATTTCTAATTCATCAGGTATTTTACTCTTTTATTATTATTTCTCTCTTACCTCCATAACTCAAAAAGGTCTTTCAGGGGAAGTGTGTCCTCGCGTAGGGAGACACACAGAGAGCCCAGAGCAAAGTTAAATATTTGGTTGAGGAAGATTCACTAAGCAAGTCAGACACTTAAGGCCAATTTTAGACTACTCAGGTCAGAGGTGGGAAGTTGTACTCCGGAGGGGGAGGAAGCACGTTGGGACAAATCTGTGTCTCGTTCTAAATTCGAGATAGGGCACCGAGCTAGTTTTCATGTATGCATGCACCTTCTACAAATGAGATCTATATTCCAGTGCCCCCCTGTGTGTATCTCAGTTTTCTAAATACAACAGACTAGAACAGGCCCCAGGTATCTTTGCAAAAGTGAGAATTTACCATACATATGAGTATTTAGAACAAGAAGTATAACGAGACACAAGACGATTTTCAGGGCTGGAATTAAGAAATCCAAAATTTTGTTTCTATCTCTATCTTTTTTGGACTTAATCTTTTATTTTTTTTGCCTCCTACTATAAAAACCCATTAGCAAATAGTTATCTGACATATCCTAATGTAGTTCTGAGTGGATATGAGTGTTTGATAATGTATTCATCATCAACTCCAGCTCTGAAACATCCACAACTGAATTATAATGAACTGTAATATAATACAACATAAAACACACAGCCTTATTCCTCTCACTCTCTATATCCTTTCTTTTCCCCTTCAGTCCATTCATCTGTCTTTCCCCAGACCAGCAAGAGGAAATCCAATCCTCTTAATTAAACATGGACCCCGAGGACATGGGCTCAAATGCAATTTGTAACGATCTCCCCCAGCCAAGACTTTGATTATACAAGGGCCCTTTATGCTGACCAGAGCCTTCTGAAGCAGTAAATCTCCCATCCGAGGCCGTTAGACGCCTCCAGAAACACCTCTGACACAACCTGCCCAGACCCCTCCCCAAACTCCACCCCCCTCCAGCTCGCTCCGTTCCTGCAAAATACACACATCTACGTTACAACACTGTGGAAAAAAAAGAAAGTACAACTTCATGTTCGGGCTGACTTGTGTGGTTGCAGAAGAACAACAGGGCTGAGCAGGTTGGGGGGGTGGGGGCTGAGATTTAGCCTGAAGAAACTTTGGAGTAAACTCTTAATTAAATACTACACGCAGACCACTCTCACTGCCGGCTGCATTATTCAGACGCTAGCTGGAACGCTTAAAGACGGCCGGGTTCAAGCGGAAGTTAGGGAAGCGGAGAGAGCTGGAGGGGCTGTTAGGAGAGACAGCACTTTTTCTTTCCCTCCAACCAAAGCTAAACATCACTTATCTTGCTTGTATAGGAGGATTTAGTGAGTCAAGCAGGACCTAGTTAGCAGACATTACCCAGCATGTGTATGTACTACCAGGAGCATTTTCTGGTGTACGTGCAGCTCATAACTCTGCAGTGAAGACTGTGTATAATGCTTCTTACATTCACGGACTCTCGGCCGGCGTATTTGACGCGCATCCTCGGCTCCTGGACCACGTCCAGATTGGTTCCTGTGACCATGAGAGGGGTGTTGCCACTGGAGAGAAAGACAAAGATATGTTTCATTGGACAGGTTTGATCATCGTGTTTGTCAAAAGCCGTCTGCTTTTTCCGTTTGAACCCTTTAAGAGTTCAAGAGAAAAGAACAAAGGTAATACACAAAGACAGTAATAGAATGTCCAACTAAACTTTCTCGCTCTGATGTTAGAAAACAAACGCATCAAACGGACTCTCATCCTCAAATAATAGTTTTTTTTGCAGCGGAAGATGATTAGACATGTTTTTTTTAAACTGGCTTCACTGGCTGAAATCAGACGGTGCAGATTTTTGTTTGAAAAAACCGAAGCGGCTCGAGCACATACGGACGCCGCGGTGGTCCCAGGCTTCATAACACAGCAGCACAAACAAAGCAGGAGGGAAGCTGCTGGATGTGCAGCTCTCCCTGCAGCTGTTTGGGCTGATGTTGATGTGTGTTGTTTTGTTGTTGTGCCTGTCAGTGTGATGTGCTGAATACAGATGCATGGACTGGAAATATACTGTAATAACAAGTGCAGGATGGGCACGTGCTATCCGGCTGTGGGTTCATGCAGAGACCTACTATGGATGGACCTTGAAGTGTCTACAGGCTCATTAAATTATATACTCAGCTACTGCAGAGATAAGACTAAGACTGTGCTTCCTCCTCAATTACTTTTTAATCAAATCTTTATATATTCAGGGGAAACAAATTCAGAGCAAAGTCGGTGGTGCCCTGTAATTATTTATAGACATATAACAATAGAAGAGACTTACAAAAAGAGTTTGTTTGTTGTTCATCAGTATGAAAACATTAATTTACATCTAAGCACATCCAGTAACTTATAATAACCAATATTGTATTTGTAAGTTTAGGGGATATATTTAATTTGGAATCTGGTGTAAAGTGTGATTTAATAATTTAGCCAAGAAAAAAAGATTTTGAATAAGACAAATCTTTATAGTAACTACTGATGTGTTTTGTCTCATATGTTGTATGGTAACTTATTGTTATGCATTGTACCTGTCTGAATATTGTCTGCATATATTACTTGTATGCGTCATTTTATATGAATGTTAGGTTCCCATTTTAAAAACCGGTCAGGGTCAACAGATGGAAATGAGCCTGTTGAGCTAACTCTGGCTTGTTTACAGTCATTTTGCTGTTGATTCATGAGCATCGTCCCTGTCAAAAAACAAAAAAGCAGAATAAGTACCTCACTGGGTCATCAGCCTAATAGTGAATGTAACAGCTACTTATCAATAAAACCTGGTTGTCTTTGCACAAACTGAACAGTATGGGGCGTAGCATAGAGCCCTGTGGCACCCCACTGTTTAACATCTGAGACGGCAGATGATGACCAATGCTACTGATGCTGGAGATCTGTCATTGAGACAGCTATGAAACCAGCTACACACATTTGTGTTACAACTCATAGATCTAGAGATCCACTAAATCCTGATCAAATAAACAGATCATGTCACTTGATTATCATTTATATGAAAAGTTGGGCTAGAAAAGCGGATGTAAAAGAATCAAACGACTAATTTCATGCCCGTCTCCATCTGTCTCCCTCTTCTTCCTCTGTGCAGTCACACTTCTGCCGCAGTGTCCCCTTCACTCCGTCTCTTAAGCCCGCGCCATCTGCTGCGGACCCACACCTCTGATAGCACATTGTTCTAGCGAGCCGCTATCTCATTTTCATCCCTCTGCCCAGTTTAATTAGGATTGCATGGTGCATGTGTATCTGTCTGCCAAAGACCTTCAACAGATGGATCAACATCGTATATCATAGGAGAATGGAAAAACATCTAAATCTCAACAGTGACCATGTTCTCCAGCCCGTGAGCTGTGGCGCTTCTATCAGATACACACTAATTGGAAGAGAACTGAACAGTTATTGAAAAAGTGCAATATTGACTCATGTCTGGTTATTTCCGCTGGCCTGGTCAGGCTGTAGCTTCAAAGCTCTGGTGGTGGTGTTCAACCAGGGGTAGGACTTTACCTTGCGATGCTCCAGTCTGGTTCGATGCGCTGGACGGTCGGGTCTTCTATGTACTCGAAGGTGAGGCTCTCTCTGATTTGAGCATGGTCCACGCTCACGCTGATCTGCACCGGGCCCACACCAGACAGCGAAGGGGCTGAGTAGCAAACTATCTCCGACACGGTCCGTCTACGAGTGAAGAAGAATGGAAGTGTGAGAAAAACTACAAGCTCCAAATCGTCAAACCTGCCATTCCCCACTAAAAATATATCAGAGCTCTAGTGACTGCGTGTACTAATGTTATTCACGTGTCTATGCCTTCCCCTCCTTCTACATGGCTCCATGTTCTACCTGCCCACCCCCCCTGAATTTGAGCAAATTCATTAGCAGAGGCGAGCTTGTAGTGGAACAGCCCCCCCCTGGTCCTCCTCTCCCCTCCCATGCCAGGAGTACAGTGGAGAAGCACAAGCCAGTAATTAGCCCCGTATCTCATTAAAGCTGGCTTGACTCCGCAGCCTTACAGCGTTACAGCGTGGCAGGGCTTAAGAAAGATGCCTACAGGAGTGGAGAGTAGAAGGAGAGGGGATGGTGGAAGGAAACAGAAGGAAACTACTAAAGAGAATAAAAAAACAAAACAAGGGGTTAGAACAGACGAACAGATTGATGGAGAGAATGAAAAGCTACGGGGGGGGAGGGGGTGAAGAAGAAGAAAGATTCACAGGAGCGCCAGGTTTTTCTTGAAGCTATTATTACGAGGTTTGATGCAGTAGGTCATCAAAAGCTTATTAAGATTTACATAAGTTTCTGACAGAGAGAGAAAGAGCGGCGTTCCCCTGGGGGGGATTTCTCACAAACACCGAGGGGAAAATAACACGAGAGATAGAAAGTTAATGGGAATAATTCACATCATCTTGGGAAAAAACATTCTCTTGTTTTTTTTTCCGTTAAGCTCACAGCACGTGATGCATCCAACGTACTCTGACAGTGACATGCAGCGGTTTTAAACAAGTTTAACACAAAGTCAAAGGCAGAGATGTATTTAATGCATAATGATATTAGGGATAAATGCTAATGTGACAGAAACCAAATGAACTATGAAATCTTCCTGGCGTTTTTCACTCTTTTGTTTTTACACTTGTTTAGTTGTTTAATGTCGTCGACAGCGTTCAACATTCACAGTGAGCAGATTTGTCCCCCTTCCTATTATCCACATTGCACTGTAAAAGCCAAAACTGTAAAACTGTGAAAATCAAATTTGTCTTTCATTTGCACTTTATTGAATGTGAACATTTCACTTTTCTCCTCATGTGCAAATACAATAAAAAGTCGTTTCACCACGAATGTCCGACCATGCGGCGGTTTCAGAAAATAAAACTTGATGGGCTGCTAATAACACGTTTCCGGAATAAATGACTCACCCGAAGAACTCGCACGTTTGGTTTCCAAACTGAACGTTGACGCTGCTGCCGGCGCCCAGGTTTTCTCCTATTATGGTCACTTTGGTGCCTCCGGACTCTGGACCACGGCTGGGGGAGAGACCTGTGACTGAGGGAGTCTGCACAAAAGAGAGATGCAGAGATTTGCACATTTTTATTCTCTTGTCTAGGGCAGTAGAGTGCAACGCTGGTGGGAGAAAAAAGGAAAGAACAGGGAGCTCTAACCAGTGTTTACTGCAGCACGCGGGTACGCTGCCATCACACAGACGGGCAGATGGAGAAATATCCAAGCAGACAACCCGTCATAGTGAGAAACACACATCCGGCAGCTCACACACATGTAATCTGACAAGCACACACATGCACATCTCAACGTGCACGGACATAAAAGAACAATGAAAAAACAACTAAATGCACACTGTCATTTACACTGCCTCCTTTGTCAGGTGCTGCCGGCTCATGGGGAGCGTGTCTGTTTTAGGGGAAATTTGAAGAACATTTCTGTAATAGTTTTTTTTTTTCTAGATGGCCTTTCAATACAGGGGGATTGCAAGTGGAGCCAGTTCTGGGCTGTGTGATCTCAGAGGAATTCCACTGCTGCAACACTGTGTTGAGGACAAAAGCAACGCGGGATTTAAAACGGAGCCGAGAGCATCGCTCGGACAGAACTCAAACCCGCCAGCTATAAGTGTGACTTCCAGGAAGCAGGTTAAAGCAGGTACGAGGGAAACAACAGTATGTAATTACTGGCTGCTGTTAATTGTTAAGGGATCATTAATTGTGAAGGTGTGAGAGAGTGCAAATGGGAAAGTAGATTATCTGTTCGCTGCAGGCTGGGCAGCCGGCGAATGACAGCGACGGGGGAGACGTGTGCGGACGGGAGCAGATAATGTTCACCTGCCTGTGTGGAGCGCTGCTTTCCAATTTAGCAAGTTGTTTGTTTATCTGTCTTTATTTCTCTCATGACCTCGACCAAACAGCCAATCCTCTTCGACTGTTTTATCTTCCCGTGTTTGATAGAGCTATCGCTATATCACAGATTTTTAAAATACCAAAACGCTGAGCTAAAAGAAATACCAGGAAACATGGGAGAAAACACTATGAGGTTATAACAACACAGAGTACCAGCATCTACAACCAGGGACCTCCAGACCCCATTGATGAGGAGCTTTATACTTATGCTGGAAGAATGTTACTGCTCTAAGTACTATACCTCTCCACACCATAAACACGTACGATTCATGACTCCTAAGTTCTGCTCTTTATTTTAAAATTGAGCTGCTATGCAACAACATCCACAGGTTGAGTAAAGTTTACATAATCCTGCTGAAAAACAAACCAACAAACAGACACGGATGAAAACACAACCTCCTTGTTGAAGGTAAAAACACATAAGCACACACACGGAGCCGCTTAATTACAATGTTTGTCGTCATGGCAACTCGCACATCATTATTTGCCTCCGGCGAACAAACAATTACTTCGGCGCAAATGACTTTTAGAACACGGAATATTCCGATTCACTTTAATTTAGCACTCGTACTGACTACACTACGCTTTGTACGTGGTGAATTGAGTTCTATGAGTGCGTAGAGGATTATAGAGAATAGCGGACGTACCACAAAGGAGTAGAGCTGCGTGGAACGAGCCCTGAGCTCTGGGCGACACTCTCCAACACACAGCTGGACCGAACCGGGGCGACTCTCTGCGGGAGCCGTGTCCATCTCACACACGATCCTGGAAAAGACACAAAATAATCCATTAAAATCAATGCACACAATACATTTAAGATCATAGCATCACTGTACACAAAGATGGACGACACGGCAGCTCCCCAAAAGTGAAGCCAAATCCTTTTGATGAACCCCTGGTGGCTGGCAGCAGTATAGACCCCACCTTCTCCATGTTGGTGCATGGGACATGGAACAAACTATAAATCCATAAATATACTTCAAGTACAATCTTCAAAAATATGTTTGTATTTGTCACTTTGTAGTTTTAAGCACTGGTGTTTGTTGATTATATCAAACCGTAGTGAAAATACATAATTAAGATAAAACACCATATGTAATGTTTAATCTGTGAGTAACAATAATTTAATCAATCTTTGAGTCAAATCTTAATTTAAATAAATTAAAGCTTGAACGTTGTCTTATGTGTTCTTGACCGAAGTTGGGGAAAAGTAATCAAAACACTTGACGCTTGATATCGATTTATCTTCCACTCTGAATGCAATCTTCTCCACTTGTCTCACTCATTTCATTACGGGACACATCCAGACATCGACCAGGACCCCCTCAGTGACTTTAAATGAGGCCGGCGCTCCTCCTCCGCCTTCGACACTTCAACACACCCAACCCGAGCGAAGTAAATTTCCCAGCAACGACCGGGCACCCGACAGTGCTGGTGCTGTGCCAACGCGGTACACCGAAGGTAAATCACACGGCGAGATCAATAGAGCTTTATCATAACGTGTGATCAGGCGTCACCCGGCGCCGCAGGTGACAACATCAAATGGCATAATAAAAAAAGAGGACGTCTATTGATTGGTGGTGCCGGCGAGTAATAAAGCACAAGATGAGATCACAGTGTGGAAAGTGAGGGACGGAATATGTTGTGAGGCAGACGGCAGCGGCAGACAGGAGCGGGACAGACGAAGCAGAGCAGATGTGTTGTTTGTCCAGCGTTGATCACCTGAATTACAACAAACAACTGTGGAGCTTTGGTGGACGAACGACTGAGGAGGAGAGCGGCTAGAGAAAGATTTACTGAGCTAAAGTTTTAGGTTGCCTCAGAAATACACACACACACACACACACACACACACTGAGAGGCTGACGTGCTTCCCCTGCTATACTGTTTTTTTGTAAAACTGAAAATTGACCTGCGCCAATTTATTCTACTCTTTTTAATCTTTTACTTTGCAGGAACATTGTTTGAAGCTGTTACTTTGCAGGATTACGCAATAAGGATGTGATACGGGTCAGGAAAGAGCCCATTAGAAGTTTTCGAACCAAGTCTTTGATTCCTCAGAGAGTCATTCATGGATCTTGATGAAGATAGTCAATTTAAATGTGGGGCCTGTTCTGTTCTCTGTGTTAAGGAAATATGTTTGTCTTTTCAAAATTCAACTTTAAATAGTTTCTTCACCATAAAGAGGCCGCTTACTCTCTGTAAAAAAAACTTTTTGAAACTAAATGTGATGAGGACTCAATCTGGCGACTATAAAAATGCTTCAGAATAGCATCAGCTCTCAGTCAAGCGTAGCCCCGGCTGCTAAAAAACACAAAAGTTTGGACTTTTTCTTCAAAGCAGGAATGGCTTTCACACACTCCTCTGAAGTAGAAACATAAAAGACACATAAATATGTACGAGTACGTTTTATTTTCCCCCTTTTTTACCCAATTCAGTCAAAAGATGCCTGGTGAGTGAATTAAGACTCAAATAGCTTCAGACATGCATATAATGAACCTTGAGCCAATAAATAACCCCAAAAAGATTCTGAGTGAACGTCCAGCTCAGACGACTCCAACTGCTTCGAAGTTGGACTAAACAGGTCATAGGTTCCTTTTTTAATTTCGCTCAGTCTATTTTTTTTACATGCCACATAAATGAATCCCCTGGCTTGTCCCCAATTGGATTAAAGTGCTGTCAGATCAGTGCACCGCTGACAAATTGTCCCCTACAGCCAAGTGGCACATAGTGAATTTTAATTACAACTGCCCAGTAAAGAGACTGCACTGTAAGTCATCACCATTACTCACGAGCTATATGCTCTTCAAACACCACCCAAAGTTGGCTGCATTGTAAAAGAATAACCGGTGCGTGAGTTGCAATTGTGTGTGAGAGAACATGTGTTTGACACGTGTTTTTTTTTTTTTTTTTTTGTAACACACACGGTATGTGAGTCACAGCGACGGTGCGGTGCTGAGCTGTTCTCTTTCTGAGGGCAGAACTAGGCCAAGGAAAGAATTAGGGTTAAAGGCTCCTCTGAGAGCCATGACAGTGATAGCCTGTGTGTGTATGTGTGTCAGCTGAGCCACAGTGTGTACGCAGCTATACATTTAAAACTTTTATCTGTAACTGACTATGAGTCAGTCTGGGAGGAAGGAGAATATCAAACCAACTGAGAGACAAGATGAAAGTCACATTCATGGTGCAGCTATTTCACATATAGTCTCTGCATAATAACTATTTTTCCATTTGCTCTAAAGCACACTTCTGATTTTCTCACAGAATTTTTCTTTTTCATAAAGAATCTCAATCTCAAATTCTGATATAATTTGAGTGTAATGAATGATTAGCGGCGTGTGTGTGTGTGCATCTTTGCTTGTCCCTCGTGTGACCTGAGGAGGTTAAACCACCATAAGGCCAAAGGTTTCCTCCTCTGCACACGTCTGCGCGTCTCGCCGAAGGGGGCGAGCAGTGAAGCACGGGCCACGTTTCATTAGTTCAGGGTGAGCGGGACAGGCTTTAACGTGATGTATGCACAGCGTGGGACAATTAGGGAGGTAAACAGAAGTAAACACACACAGCTGTTGTGGGATACATGAGCTACAGAGTGAGAAGTGGGTTTGTGTGCTGCAGGGGGAGAACAGCCATGTCAGGGACAGACTGTTTGGACCTGCTCCAGTCTTCATTATGGCGGAGAGGGCGGTGGAAAGCTGCTTTTATGTCGCAACGTATTGATCAAAGTTTGTAAGCTGTTATACCACATGCATAATATATGAAAACCACAGTTTACATGCACAGCATTATGAGTCTTTACAACTGATTTGTTTTTATGTTGAGTTGCCTTTAATTGTGTTGTTTACAAAACGGGATAGTTAGATGATTAAAAAAGAACATGCAGGAGCCTTTTCTCTACAGCGTTCATTTCATTTGCAAAAAGAATTAAGTCTTCAAATATTGTGTAACACAAGAAAACCCCAGAACTTTAAAAAAAATAACTGCATTGAGTGAGTTTTCAATCAATATAACAAAAAAACAAACAATAACGCGGTTGATTGATTCCTGTTTGTGCGACTTACTGTTCAGCGATGATGTAACCTTCCTCCACAGGAGTACACCTCACCCCTGCCACCTCCACGTTTCCCACCATGTCTGAAAAGGCCAGGCCGAGGTTTGTGCCGTGGATGGTCACCCGGGTGCCTCCCTCCGGGGGTCCGGCCACTGGGGTCACCTGCAGGGCAAAAACAAATACCCACCGTCAGGGGAAAAAGTTGCAAAGTGGCACTAAAGGATGTGTTCGTAGCTTCAGTCATGGACCTGTCGTATAGGAATTATAAACGCACACAGGTTTTACTTTGACGCTCAAGGGTAAGCATGCTCTTTCGGTCCAGGTGGCTGTAAAAGCAATTAAGTTCACTCCCCATGTCTTCATCGGAAGAATGTCAGAACGTGCCATGAGTCATTGTGCCGGGAGCGTGCTCTCATCACAACAGTCGCTGATGGCACATGCTTTGTTGCTGTGTTTTAATATATCATCATCACATTCATACAATCCCAAAACAAAAAACACACTTTTAAATGTATTTTTTTTTTTGTTGTTAACTCGTCCCTGTAGAAAACACAACAGTAAACCTGATGGAAGAAACCCCACAATTGAAACTCAGGTTATTAACATTCTGGATTCGTCTGCACCAAATCTGCTGCTGTTGCCATGGATAATAAATCTAACAAGGGGCCATATTAATGCTAAGTGCAGACCACCTATTCATAAAATACAATATGGCTGCCCAGCATGACCTTGGCACAGGGTGGCACGCTGCCGTCTGTGCTGCAGAGCCCCGCTGAGGCTCCCGACCTGGCCATCATCCAGCCCTTTCACAGAGGAGAAGAGGAGGACGACGACGAGGGAGTAGAGAGGGAGAGGATGTAAAGGCCATGATGGACAGAGAGATAAAGGAGAATAAGAAAGCAGAGGGGAAGGGAGGAGATGACAATCAATATGCGGTCACTGGCCATGCAGGCAGAGGGGATTAAACCAACTTGTTCCCACTTACTGAGCTGCAAAGTGCCATGTGACGGCGACCCTGCGATAGGTGCCGCACCCCCGGCACCCATCAGAGCATTGCAGCCTCCCCGTGGCACGCCGGCATTGTAATCTAGATTCAGTGGACATTAATTGCTCTGGATGTAAAGTAAGTGTGTCACTGCACCGCCTGAGGGGTCTGAATACA